TCGATTCCTGTTTTATTCCGTTAAATTTCACAACACCAAGGAGGTCATCTAGGTGAGAACAAACTCAACATGTTCATAACAATGTAAAAATGTCAAAAAGCATACCATGGTTGTCCGATAGGCCATCCAAGTGGGAGCAAACTCAACATTTTTATACAAGTATTTCCACATCAAACACTTGATCATAGGTCCATAATCATCTACTCATATCTGTGTATCATCACACACATACAAGGATGTATGCATAATAACCGCATTTACACATTTTTTGTAAGAACAATCTCTAATCAAGTGTCAAGACGAGGTTCAAAATAAAAAGGGCGTACAAATGATTAAGTTTGTTTAAAATGAAATCCCATGCTTATTACCTATAAAAGAATTTATTGCACATAATCCTTGTCTGCATATAAATTATGAATGGATTTTCAGTCAATGCACTCATCCACTTGGATGAAGTCTGAAATGGAGATAGAAGCCAACTTAAATAACTAATCAATTAAATAAAGCAAAGAAAACATTACCATTTAAATATTACAGTTTCATTACAACCATTGCACATGATCAATTCTAACGTTCAAATATTAAGATATGTAAGGCTCAAGTCATGGAAAAAACAAAAGATTCATAGTATTAAAAAATAAAATAAAATAAAGCACTCATCTTTTATATGCATCAAACAATATATTTTTACCAATCTCAACAAAAATTAGAATTCATCCCTAAAGACACTACAACATTCTAGGTTACCAAAACGTACTATTTCATGTGATTTTTTCACTCAATTGACCAGTTACAACTATTTGACACATTCACTAAAGCATTTGTGATTTATTCTCTTAATCCAATCATCTCTTGAACACCCTCTTCATCGACAAGCTCAAAGTCATTAACTCACAAATCTTTATCTAGCATTGGTTGCCTTGTACTAGTTCAAATGTTTCAACCTATATACACATAGGATCACCATCATCTAAGACCCCAAAGTTCACATCACCCGAGATGGATATCTAAACATAAAGTTATGCAGAGATATTATAAATGCAACTATTTTTACTTCTTTTTTGAAGGAATATTCAGTATACTGAATACTCTCTCGATTCCACTCCATAACGATGAGTTTAACCTGTTAAATATTTTTTTTCAATCTCTAACTACTTGGTTGCTACATTCAGAATTAAGAATGTAGTACTTCATATCGTGAAAGGGCTTTAAGAAAACTTGTTTCAAGAGATATTCTGCATCAACGATGTAATATTTTCTAGGAAGTAAGCACAATTAGAATATTAAATCAAATTAATTTTCATAATTTGATTATGGTATTGATTGGGAGACGATATTGAGAATTTATATACATGTCTCAGAGTTACAAATTTGATTATGCAAATATCATGATCAATGTCTTCCTGTCTTGTCATTAATAAGGTAAAACATATATTAAAGTCACATACTGCTAATATATTCTATATTAATAGGCAGAATGCCAACACATAAGATTGCATAGTTGACCTATATATGAATAATCAAAACTTACGGATTGGGATATGTTTTTAAAACATTATTTTGCTTTGGCAAATTTTATATTAAAATTTATGTTAAGAAATTATGTAGGAGCACAAAAGTTTACTTAGAATTGAATTGAAATATTATAATCAATTAAAAAAATAACCACAACTCTTAACAGTAACATATAAAGTATTAGTCAAATAAACACACAAATTTAAGAAGTTCAAGTGGATGAAACCTAATACAATTATAACAACACCACAATTTATTAGACCAAGTTCAACTAGTTTGATTGCTAAGAAATAACAAAGGTAATGAATCTTTCACTCCATCACCATTGTTAGAAAAGCTTCCCGCTTAATTGTGTCTTGAAGTTTTGCAAAAAATAGATGGAATGATATATCCTAAAAAATTTTGGAAGTGCAGTCTAATAACTCGATGATTTCTTCCATCAAACGTTAAGTGTTTTATGTGCAAGCACTGATGCATACTACTATGTCGGCACTATTTTTGGTGTGGAGTTTGCCC